CCTGCTGTGTCATATGATTAGAAAGTTGCCAGAGAAGCTTAATCCCAATGCCTGTTGACCCCACCATAGTGCAATGTCCACTAAGTCATCCCAGTAACAATGACATTTCCCTCAAACATTACTTAGAAGGATCACTAGGACTGCTCTATTTGCCAACAATTAGTTCTGTCCTGTTTAAAAAAGTATTTAGTCTATCTTTTGTTGTTTTCCTGGCCATTCTTAGGACTTAGCACTTGGGCCCCATTTTGTTTGAAGAGAGACATGAATACCCTTTCTGCTTTTACTCATTACTTCTCTATCTCAGAACAGAGCATACTTTGGTCCACAACACACTGTAGCCTCAAGGGCCTCCTGTGATATTTTGTGTCATCCTTTTTGACCCTCTTCTCTCTGAATTATAAGGGATAGCCACTCTCAAAGTTCCTAGGAAGTAGTTTTGTCATAGTTTTTTTTTTTCCTCATACCTTTCAAGGATCACCTGATGACACAGGGCCAGCGGAGTCATTAACATTCAATTCTCTTTCTCAGGACAAAGAACTTATGTTTTTAGCAGAACATCAGATCAGAATAATCCAGAAAGACAGTTAAGTTTTATTATCCTTAATAAGAGCAACTCACAGGCACTGGATCAGTTTATTATGGCACACACTATGAAATGTGACGGGTGCTATAAAGTTGGTAGATAACCTTTGAGCTGCTTATCGTGTATACCAACTAGCAAGTTCCTGACACTGCAGTTCGTGAAGTCCAGGAGCAGCAAGATAGTGAACAACTGGACCCAAGGTCACACTAAGCAACATGTGTCTGATTTGTCTCCAACACCGCTCAATTTGATAGCTTTCCATAAGGATTCCCCTCTGACTCTGGGTGGGAAATGATCCTTCTCTGAAAGAAGAGAAACTCACTGTCTCTTGCTTATATCTTTATTTAACTTACGTACCATTCACTGTGATGCCTGGTGGCTTATTCTTCCTTTGTGGTTGGAATAGGGGAGGCCAGTTTCCTTGCATTGATCTGCACATGGTCAGCTCTCTGTCATTATTCTTCTAACCCCACAAAACTATATTTTACAGAAGAAACTGTCCAGTAGATACTTGCCATTCCTTTCTCAGGCTACCCTTGCATTGAATATTTTAGTATGTTTATATATACATATGTGTGTATAAGCATATATACACATATATATCACAGATAGTGTGTATATGTTTGTGAGTCTCTCTCTCTCTCTCTCTCTCTTTCTCTCTCTCTCTCTCTCTCTCTCTCTCTCTCTCTCTCTCTCTCTGTCCCATTTTACAAAGATCCACCAAGATTTTTTGTTTTGAAACAAAGTCTTCCTATGTGGCCTAGGCTGGCCTCAACCTCATTATGTAGTCCAGGCTGGACTTGAGTTCACAGATATCATTTGTCTCTGACTTCTGAGTACTGATATTTAATGATGTGAACCACTGTGCTGGCAAGGTTTTTGTCATATGGACTCATATATAATTCAGGGTAAACTTTGACTGTTTAAAATCCAGTGTTATAGAAAATTGTTATTCAGCCCAAGCCCAAAGAATGATTTTAGGGGGAATTTGGAGTAACAAAATTTTATTTATTCTTTGTATGTGGGTATATTCGTTTATGTGTGTGCAGGCCACAGCATATGTGTGAAGGTCAAAAGGCAACTTTCAGGAGTCAATCTTCTCCTTCTATTGTAGCTTCCAGGGATCACACTCAGGCTATTAGATTGTGCACAGCAAGTGCTTTTATCCACTGAGCCATCTTGCTGGCTCAAGCTACACAGTTTTTGAGGATCATTTATAAATATACATTTCCTGGTAGGATTTCATCCCTATGAAAAAAATCAGTTCTCTATTTTATGAAGCATTAAAAGTAAAGAGAGGGAGGATGGGTGAGTCTGGAATTTTCCCCCTTTGTTGAATCCTTTCTTTTAGGTGAAGGAATGTCTTCCAACTCATTCTGTAGTGTTAGAAAATTTTGAATACTGTGACAGGAAGCAATGAGACTCGCCATTACAGATGCCAGTTACTTTTACTCTTTGGAGGACATAGAAAATGATGGCGCACCTACATAAGGAAGGTCTTTCAGTGGGTAAATTAACTTGATGGGAGGATCCTGTCATCATATGGAAGTTTCATGTACCCCAGTCTGTGCTGACTGTTGAGATTTGGAATGACCAGTGATGTGTTAAGGATGGAACAACACAACAGCCTATCTGTGAAGACAACTCCAAATTTCCACCCCAGCATTAAACTGAAAGTTTTATGAGTTAATGTTTAAAATCTGATGATGCTTATTTACTGATTGCTTTGAGGATTACCTGTGCCACTTGACAATGGCATGTACAATGGCAAAGTACTGTCAAATGATGATATTGGGATCTACATAATTGGAATGCTAACTTTACTTTTCATTATGAAGTTCAACTATTTAAAATTATTTAATAAGTAATAACAGAAAACTGGCAAAATTGATATTAATTCCTAATTCTTTTTTTTTTTTTGGTTTTTTGAGACAGGGTTTCTCTGTGGCTTTGGAGGCTGTCCTGGAACTAGCTTTTGTAGACCAGGATGGCCTCGAACTCACAGAGATCCGCCTACCTCTGCCTCCCGAGTGCTGGGATTAAAGGCGTGCGCCACCAACGCCCGGCTTAATTCCTAATTCTTAAGGTGGGAATATGAGTATTTTCATCATCTACTAAAAGAAAATACAAGAGAGTCATAAAATTTCATAAGCATATATGTCTTCCCTCCTTTTCCTCTCTCTCTTTCCTTTTCTTCTTGCTTCCTCCCTTCCTTCTTTCTACTCACAATAGATTCCATTCCACATCTGCACTGGGCTAATGTTTGAGTAACTTTGCTACAATGTTAGTTTGTGCAGTTTCATCCACTTGTCCATCCGCCCATCCATCCATCCATCCATCCATCCATCCATCCATCCATCCAATAATTTGCTATCTAGCCACCCAGCCACTGTTCTACATTGGATGGATACAGGGGATGATCTATCTAGCCCCTGAGTTGAATGCCTTCCCTTGAATGATTCCAGGGCAGTTGTTTTTATAAAATACCTTTAAATTTGAATTTTTCTGATTATGAGTTTCAGATGGAAAAATTTGTGTGGGGGGCAATAATACAAATCCCCTAATATTTTGGATCTTCTCAGTATTTATATGAAGGAACTTGTCAGTTTGTCTATCTATGGGTAGTGTTCAACAGATTTAACCTTTAGCAAAATACAAGTGTCTTTTGTATCTCATACATTGGTTATGAGGCTATTTTGAGACCACGTGTAATCCAATCATCATTAATCAACTATTTAGTTTCCATTGATGAGCCTCATCAGAATCAACTATTATAGACATAGTGACTTTCCATTACCCTTTCTTTATTAGCTAGAGTTCTTCTACAAAGAAGAGCTTTATCTTTGTCCCCCTTTTGTGTACCTAATATTCCTTAAAGCATATTAAAGTTGACCCTCCTGTAGGGCTTTTCAGGAAATCCCATCCTTCATAAGTCAAGGAATCTTTACCACCTCCTCATCTGTCGGAGACTCACCCACCACTGTGGGAATCCCTTGGCTAATCACAGTAATTTTCAACATCCTAGCCAGGTGATCCTTTTAGATATGCCTCTTGAAAAGTTAACAGATTTCTGGTACAACAGAATCCTGCTGGCAAATCTGGTGTCTCGAGCCACTCACATCATGCTTCCATGATGCTCCAAGAATGGTATCCCAACTCTAACATGAGAAAAACCTGGAGAAACCCTACTCCCAGGCAACCTGGAGGCACCCACTTCTATTCCCAGTAGCACAAGTAGCTATTCTTTCACAAAATTCAGGAAAAACTTATTGGAACTTCTTTTTATTCTAGAAAAAGGTTTTATTTTTATCTTATGTGTCTGAGTGGTTTTGCCTGCACACATGGATATGTATTGTGTGTTTATGCCTGGTGCTCATGGAGACAAGAAGAGGGCACCAGATTCCATAGAACTGGAGTTATAGGTGGTTGTGAACTGCCAATGTGGGTGCTGGGAACCCAATCCAGCTCCCCTGCAAGAGCAGCAAGTGCTCTTAACTGTTGAGCCATCTCTCAAGCTTCCATACTTGAGGCTTTCCATACTCTAAAGAAACATTAAGGATCTGAATTGGGAATATTAAGGTCTATGGGAGGTCAGAACACCAGAAAATCCAACTTTGTCATGTAGAATTGGTTGACATGGAGTTGCAGCTGTGAGATATAGTGTAACTAGCAAGGTGTTTTATGAATTACAAAACCCAACCTACCAATTAACACAACTGTTTGGTAATGAGTAAAGCCAGTCAGTTTGCAGCAATTCCTTTCTTCAAAGTCGCATGGATTGGTGTTCTGATATTTCATTAATTTGAGTTTCACTTAGCATTTGTGGAACATTACTTTGTCAAAATCTGTGAGAGGAATTCATTGCTGTTTGAAATTCCATTTGTTACAAAGTTTGCTTAGAGCTAATTTTCTAAAACTTGCCATGCACCATATATTTCTTCATGTTCTTTTATGCAACTTGCCTGTATGAAGTTTTATGAAAATGAATTCATATGTGTATACATACATTAATATACCCATTCCTATAAGCTTATCGTAGTGTTTTAAATAACACTACTTGTTCTAATTAGTATGTATATATCATTAATGCATAATTCTTTTTTTTTTTTTGGTTTTGGTTTTTCAAGACAGGATTTCTCTGTGTAGCCTTGGCTGTCCTGGAACGCACCCTGTAGGTGAGGCTGACCTCGAACTCAGAAATCCACTTGCCTCCTGCCTCCCAAGTGCTGGAATTAAAGGCGTGCCCCACCACTGCCCTGCCAGAATTCTTATCTTGGTAGTCTTTTTATGGTTCTAAATCATTTCAGCGTTCTCAGTCTCCTATGCCTATTTCTGTTCTCCACATTTGTAAACAAGACCATATTCAGCCAAAGCTTTCTCATCCTAGATCCCACTCACTCTTCTCATCTGCTTTTAGGAACAACAAAGGACCACTTGGAGTGGAGGATGCAGAAGACAAGTGTGAAAACATAATCACAATTGAAAATGGCATCCCCTGTGATCCCTTGGACACAAAGGGAGGCCTCATTAATGATGGCTTCTTGACAGAGGACGAACGCCTCACCCCTCTCTGAGATTAATATTTGCTTGGCAGATTTATTTGGTTTCAACACTCTTTTTTGTAAGAAATTTTCAATATGCTTGAATGTGGTAGATGATGAATTATACCCACTAAGACCACTGAAATCATAAGGCGTTGTTCTCAAAATATTTTCAAACGTTTTCCTGATAACTGTGTGTCTAAGTGTAGTCATATGTGTATGTAGTCACTGATCTGAGTATTTCTAGAAATAGTCAGGGCTATAAATATATTTCACACTTTGAAGACCTAAGAAAAAAATCAAATTTTCCAGTGGAGAATAGCTAAAACAGTGGCACAGACATAATTGAAAATGGATCTTTTTCAATATTGTTTATATTGCTCTGCATATGATGAAGCAAGAAAAAGTAAACATGGGATGGATAAAAATGGAATTTTAATCTGTTTTCACACCATTAGCTGCTTGTATATTTTGTGCATATCTGTGTTTAGTAGGGCAAGCAGGTCTATTTGCAACTTGTACAAGTCCTGCCTATGTTAATTTAATAAAGCACTGAGCATCTCATTTTGATTATGTGACTGACTATTGTTTGGGACTTACTTTCATACTGTGGAACATAGTGAGTTTAACTTTATTAATTATATTTAACTTGATCTATAGCCCTGGTTGGTTTATTTGTATATGTCCTTTTTGTTTTTTTTTTGTGTTTTTTTGTATTTGTTAGTTTTGTTTTTGAGATGGGGTTTCTCTGTGTAACAATCCTGGCTGTCCTGGAACTTATTTTGTAGATCAGATTGGCCTCAAACTCCCAGAGATCCACCTGTCTCTGCCCTCTGAGTGCTGGAATCAAAGGCATGTACCACCATACACGGCTCTGTGTACATCCTTGCTCTGAGATATATTTTTTCCTTCATATTTTTAGTTCTTTCAACATAATATTTTTATTGATTTGGGAATTAATGTTTCTTTTTGGCAAGGGGCAAGATTATCATAGAAGCCTTCAATGTCTCTCGTTCTCAATTATGAGTCTTGCCGACATTTTAAAGTTTTCAGACATGAGTTTTCTTAAAATTTGAATTAACCTTTAAACTTATAAATAAAACATGAAATTGTATATTGTTAATTTTTAACATTTATTTTAATGTGCATAATGTGTTTGTGTGTGTGCACATGCCCACATGTGCCATAGCATATATGTGATATGTGGAGGTCAGAGGACAATCTTGGGGGAATCATTCTTTTCTTCTTCCTTATGGGCTCTGAGTTTGCAGCAAGCAGCCTTACCCACAAATCATCTACTAGCATGGCAATATTTATCTACAACATACTCATAATACATCACATACAGCATGTTTTGAGGCAGAACCTCAATATGAAACTCTGGATGGCTTATAATTCATTGTGTAGATGAGGCTGTCTCAAACTCACAGAGGTCCATCTACCTCTGCTTTCAGAGTTCTGGGATTAAAGGTGTGTATTAGAACACCCAGCCTTAGTGTGATGTTTTGATATCTGTATGAAACTATGTAATGTCTAACTCAGATTTTACACATATATCTATATTCTCAAACATCACTTATTTATGGAAAATTTTTCTTCTAAGCTTTTAGAATACACAACACGGTGTCATTATCTGTATTCACCCTATTGTGCAATGGTGTACCAGAACTTCCTGTTCCTATCCAGTTATTACATAGTTCCCACTGATCAACCCTCCTCCTTTCCTCCCTCCCTCTCTGCACTATGGTAATAATTATTCTGTGCTCAACTTCCTTTTTTTGTATGTGGTACTAGGGATAAAACCTAGGGCCTTGTATACACTAGGCAAGCACCACACCACTGAGCTACCTCCCCAGTCCTCTGCTCTCAGCTTCTATAAGAAGAATGAGAGTTGATCTTTTGGTTAGCAAGATATGACTTACAAAGGAACAATTATATTTTTATGTTTATTTAATTTTTAGAGCTTTATTTATATTTTCTGTGTATGGGTGTTTTGCATGCATGACTGTGCTCTGCTTGGATCCAGTACCCGAGGAGGACAGAAGAGGATGTCAGGTCCCCAGAACCAGAGTTACAGAAAATTGTGGTTGCTGGGAATAAAACCAGGTCCTCTGGAAGAGCAGCCAGTGCTCTGCACTGCTGAGCCATTTCTCCAGCCCCCAAAGAAAAATTTTATATCTTACACCCTCTTGAGTTGTACATGCTAGGAGCACTCTAATGTGGCTTTCTATATAGAAATTTTTAACAATGAAATATCATCTGAATTTACTCAGTGTGTGTTAGCAAGCAGAATCCAAGACATGCATTCCCAACAAGGAACATATTGTTTTTTAATTGGGGGAGATGAAACTTGAGATATTACAATGACTTGTAGCCCTCAAAAAGATTATAAAATATAACATAAAGAGAATATATACATATATAATTAAAAAATTTATGTGACTGCTATTAGGAAAATGTATTAGTTATAGAAAAAGATTAAGTAACATCAATACCAGTTATGGCTTTTATTTTGAAGGTATGAGATGAGCTCATTTAGTCACTAGCTCATGTTCTTTACTGTTTATCCTGACACGGAGGGTTTCCTCTCACTGGGAAAGGTCTGCTCCACTAAACTCCTTGTTTGAGGAATTTTTTTTATGCTAACAGAAATGTGCCGTAACCTTGACAATCACTATAGCAGCAAAATGGAGCTTATGCCTCCTGCCTTTGACAAACACTCTGGGTAAGAGAGGGGTCAATCATCAACCACGCTTCTCATTTTTAAGGTAATGATCATGTAATGTGCCATGAGGGAAACCATTGTGAGGTGATATGTACTGGAAACCAAATGTTGTAAACCAGGTGGAAATGGAGCTGTTTTTCCACTCTCTAAGTCTTTAGCAGAAACTCCTCATTGAAAGTGGACAAAGAGAACACTGAAAACCAACACAACACAACACAGAAGTAAATTAGCAGAGATGGGTATATCTGGACCTATTTCACAGGAGAAACATAAATGCCGATATCTTGGTCTTTGAAAAATAAACTTTCAGCATTCATGTTTCCCATAAGAAGTAACTAAGATAAACCATCATAGAAGGAAAGAGTGGGGCTGGGGTGTACCTCAGTGGCATAGTGCTTAAGGTACCAGGTAGGAGGTTCTGGGTTCCATCCACAGCAAAATACATACACCCACACCCACACACAACATACACACGTCAGGGGACAGTGAATTTATGCATTTAGAATAATTAGCATGTTTCAGATATGAATATTGTGAACTGAGAACATTTACTGTCATTCCGAGGTAAGTAACAAGGAATAGAGTATTAGGTCTCAAACCTGAGACAAATGGCTAACTGAGGTGCTCATTAACATATCAAAGTGGACCTGGTTTCAGGAGCAGTGGTGACACACGCCTTTAATCCCAGCACTCAGGTGGCAGACACAGGCCAGAATGGTCTACAAGAGCTAGTTCCAGGACAGCTAGGGCTACACAGAGAAACCCTGTCTTGAAAAACCAAAGAAAACAAACCAACAAACAAAGCCAACCTGGCCAGGTTCTCCTAGCATCCCTCAGTCTCCAACTGTTACAGGCCCCACCTGGCTGGCATACCCCAGCTCCCACCCTGAACTCTCCAGCCATGGTATTGGGCCAGGATTCCCTACCCCCAGCTCCTCTGCTCCCTATATAACTCAGCCATTTTGGCTATCCCAGTTTCTTGGCTCAGGTCACCCCTCTTGGTTGATGGCTCCTCTCCCCTCTTCTCTCCTCACATGGCCTGGTTCAGGGTCATATTCACTCTGGACTCTCCAAGATGTTCCTACCTCTGACTATGCTCTCCCTCGTATCTACAATAAACTTTCTCCTCCACCATTCCTAGGAGCAGTTATGTTCTTTCCTTTTTCTTTCTTTTTTTTCATTCATCTGGTGCTGAAAACTGGGAATATGGATTCTGAGGGAACACTTGGAGCTGGCAAGTTGCTGAAGCAGTCTACAGTTGGTTTGAACAAGTTTGGAAACAAAAAGAATGAAAAGTAACTTAGCCTCCAAATTACTAGGCTCAATTTAAAAAGTCATGAAGTTCCTTAACAATATTTTGTATTGTATTTCATTTTCTGCTCCCTCCCCTAAATGCGCACATGCAAAGTATTTGCTTTTCTTCTTCTCTACTTTCCTTCTTCATGTCTTCATTCTCAAGAATATACTTGATGCCTTTCACTCTGTTCAGGAAATCGTGCCAGATTCAAGAAATATGGACAGAGAAAGGTATGAAGACTCTTGGCAGACACTGGCCTTGGTAAATTAAAGTAGATCTATCAGCCAGCTGCAGGGGTGGCTGCCTGTGGCCTCAGCTAATCAGGAGGCTGAGGTGGCCGTATAGCTTGAGCCTAGGAGTTCAACATCAGTCAAGACAACACAGCAAGATCTGTTAACAAAGTAAATCAGTGTAGTTCATATTTGCCTTCATTGCCTTCTACTTTCTCTGCAGCTCTTCTTGCTGATTTCCATTCTGTACTCTGACAAAGCTGCTCCCTCAAAAGTCACTGATGTGTTGCTGGCTTTCTTAAGTCCTGGCTTTCTTAAGTCTGCCCTTCCTACATCTCTGTGAGGTATTTTACAGCACCCACACCCTATGGATACATCTCCCTCTCACCAACATCTCTCATCTCTTTCATGCTGGTTAACCCCTCTACCACTGAGCTATGGCCTCAGCTCTTTTTACTTTATATTTGAGATAGGGTCTCCCTGAGTCATTCAGATAGGCCTTGAACTCACTGTGCAGTCCAGGCAGTCCTTGGATTTGGGATCCACCTGGCCAGCCTCCAGAACTGCATGGAGGCATCACCATGCCTGGCTACACTGGCATTTGTTTGGTTTTGACCATTTCTTCTTTCCCTTTCTACTGCTCTCACCATCCCAGCCTCTGATACACATCATTCCATGTTTACATTTAGTGAATAAAGTGTCTTCCCAGGGACCAACCCAATATGAAGCTTCTATCCAGTAGCTGGACAATTTTCTTTTGTTATTAAGTAGTCAAGCATTG